AAAAAAAAGCAAAAAAACAAAAACAAAAAAAAAACAAGAAAGCATTCAGTTAATGTTAAACAAGCTTCACGATGGATTACTTTCAGTCGGTAACGGATTATTAAATATAAAACAGAAATCTAACGGATCCCTAAAAGGCGGGCTAAAAGAGCCACTGAAGACGCTGGTGAAGACCATCTTCAGTGCCTGCCKTTTAAGAGCAAGTTGTTATTTACGACAGGGCCCACAATAATTATAATATYGAAGAAAAAACGTTTTGAACAAATTCCAGTCTAATCATCAGGCTGACAACGCATTAAAGCTAACGGAACGAATATATTAATCTATAGAAATTCTTATTATACTGATATTATTTATCAATGGCAAGTAATATTCTACTTCGTAAAAAACGTGCCTGAAAACCAACCCTCTCTAAGATATTAAGGTGCTTTTGCGCACTGCTTGTTGGATAGTTATTGAAGATGTGATTCATGCATCAAAGATGTTAGACAAACGTGTTTAAACGCCATCAAAGCTGTTTTTCTTAAAYAGCCGATATGATAAATAAACATTAGCACATAAACAATAAGACCATTTGTGCACCTATGGTAAATTAAATATTCACTTCCTAAAACCTGTTAATTGTTTGATTTAAGTTACAATGGGGGATGATTGTTCAAAAAAGATTACTTTAGTGGCCAAATTTATACCTAGAATGTATTTCCCGTTTCTGCATTAGACCGTTCATCTTTACGCTTTAGGCAATAGAACCACCTTTTAAGAGTGCTGTTCCATTCGTACATGTACAATTTTACATGCGGCTTTCTGATCTTCCTAACAGYAATGATAAAAGGGTAAATTTTACACCGTGAAAAGATGAAAAAACTTACTGACGTTTCGGACGCTTGCTCTTTTACTCCGACGAAGGACTAGCGTCAGAAACGTCAGTGCGTTTTTTCATCTTTTCACGGYGTATAATTTACCCTTTTGTCATTACCGTTTCATTAGAAACAACGACGCAGCTTACACTAGTTTTAAGCTAGTTATCTCTTCTCGATCTTCCTAACATGTTAGTCATATTATGCATTTCTTTCAAATACCTAGCCTACAGAACGTCCAAAGGACTGACTGCTTTTGAATATCTTATATATATATATATAATATATATGTAATAATATATAATATATTATATACTTGATTGCAGAAAGGTTGTAGTATACATTTATACATAAACTTAATGAGATGCAAGATATCAAATCAGATATCAAAAGTATTTTGTGGAAATTAACTTGACTTTGTGCAATACTTATGTCTCTGATACATAATAGAAGATAAATAAGACCAAATAAGTTACTTTTTTACGTTCTGCATCTCATTTGATATCTTGCATCTCATTAGGTACATGTATAAATGTATACTACAACCTTTCTGCAATCGAGTGTATATATTGTGTATTCCTAAGAGGAATTCCCACGTATGGCTTTGATCTCTTAATAGTTGCTATGTCACGTCCAATTACTTAAGCTCTCCGGCAACAACGACTTAAAGTTTGCACTTAAAAAGGCGTAAATTAAACTTTTTCTTCCTGWTAATTAGTCTATCGTCCTATTCAGATAATTCATATACAGCAGGAATTTGATGATATAAAACATTTATTTGGAGTATAACAAAGTTTAAATCCTTCCGAAGACTTGACATGAAAGCTGATTGGATCCAAGAGTCAGCTAAGTGAATACTTAATGAGTTCGATAGACAATGAACACGTATTATAATGGCGTCATAGTGGTGTAAAACCAATCAATAATAAGGAGTGCTAATAAGTGGTCCGACAGACACAATGGGTGCACTTGATGTGTTAGTTCATAGTAAAGATGTTGGTTTCTTGCATGCAATCTATGTACAAGGACAAGCAGCACCTTTTATACTCATAACCTTTTCCTAGACCTTACAAACCGGCAAGCCATGCACCGTTACCTTGTGTATGATTTCTTTGTTTATTAGTAAAGCTCGAGGAGATACATAAATATGATGAAATAAATATGAGGAAAGAAGCTTAACCCTGAAATTTGATATTGAAATAGAAAAAAGGAACATTAAAAACGTAAGCAGGTTCTATAAATAACCGGTGATTTGAAGCAAGAATAATTTGGTGTTAGCGGCAACATTTTAAAGAAAGCTTGAGCTGTTTCAATACCAACAAGTTATTACGGTTAAACAAATATATTCAGTATGTAATTATATTTACATCATAAACAAAACAAATCGTAATAGATGCACCATCATTACCAATAGAATAAAAACGCATAATTATATAGCTAGGATGGTAAATTTTTCGTAAAATATGTGTCGCAAATACCTTAATGGACGTCGGATGATCAGATCAACCAAACTTAGTTTTTGCTCGACATTTGACTCACAATTGGGACACAGTCGAGTGATAAAAGGAAACAGTCAAATGTTTTTCTAATGAAAAAATATATAATGACCTGTTACCTGATCCAATAGACTTTAAAAAGTTGAGATCCGCCGGTTGAGCGAAAATGGCTAAGCGCAAGTTGATTTTAATCAAATAGGTTACCAGTTGTTCCAATCAGTTAACTAGAAGTGAGCCAGTGAAATCGTCTCTATTTGACTCGCAAGTTCAATTTGTATTAAAGCTTTCTTTTTTGTGGGTTCTAATCATAATAAATCATGTTTTTGCAATCGATTTGACACAAGAACCTTGGCTCTAAATCGGTCGGCACCCTTTGAACGATTCTCAACAAGTCGGCTTCGACAGATTCTTTAAACCTGTCACTAAATAATTAACGATTACATTCTATTCCATACAAGATTTCCTTGAGGGTAATTGCATTTAAAGGAAATAACAACTTCACTTGATCAATGCAATGTATTGATCATACTGCCCTATTAAGTGAATMTTAACAATATGCTAATCATTTTCCAGTTTACGGCTGGATGATTGATATTGACGGGTAGGAAAACTTATGACCTGATATATCTCTGTGTTAGAGCACTCAATAAGTTAATGATGGGTTTTAGAAATTATAGAAGGTTTACAGATTACAATCTTTGCCGTAAAGAAACGTATATCATCGAAACACTAGTGCGCATGCACGGTACGATTTGGGAATGGCTTTCCGGTGCGGTTGTCTAGTATTATTTGTTATCATATACAACAACTAGTTATACTCTTGGTTTGACTTGTCGAACTTGACTTGAAAAAAGTGATTAACTGGATTGACTTCAATATAAAAATAAAATAAAAWAATCGAATGAAACGAATATAGATGGMAGTAAACACTGACCAAACAAAACCAAAATGGCACAGTTAAGATGAACGAAAACCACGTTTATCGAACCAGGAAAAAGACACGACGTCTGATTTACATATTATACTGTAACCAACTATAACCATGCTATAACCATGCTATAACCATGCTATAATCATGCTATAATCATCTATATCTATAACCACACAGAAATTAACGTTCCTTTGTTAAATTTATTCTTTTTGTTGCTCTTCCTCTTTCCCTTTTTTTCTCTTTTCTCTCCTTTTTTTATATTTTTATGTTCAAAGTTTCTCGTTTTCATTTTCTTTTCCTCCATACTTTTCAATCAATATCTAAAAATTCCCCTTTTATTCATTATTTACTGTCATCGTCCTCTTTACGTCGTCCTCTCCCTGTTATCATTATGCATATATTAGCCAGTATATTAAGTTTGATTTTTGCCAGTATTCCTTCAGTAATCTAACTTCATTCACATTTTCACATCACAACATTTGATTTTCATCCATTTACTAATCTATTGACATGGTAAAATACACCCTACAATATTGATGGTTCTATACTGTTTACTCAATATTTAGTCAGTCCTGCTCATATTCGACATTAATGAAATGTGAAGTACCTTTTCCATAATGGAACTCTTTAATACTAAATATATTGAAAGCATTATATTTCCTCGAAAGAGGAAGTCCAAGTCTCAAATGACCCAAACACATTGTAAACAGAACAAATATTGAAAAAATAATAACTTTACGCAGGGAGTGAAAACGAAGTAACTATATAGCTGCTACTCTCGATCAATAATATTTATTTTAAGTCCAGTTTAATTTAACGTGGTTATTTCTTTAATGACATGACTGTGTTATTGTGGCAGTGCAATAAACTCTATAACGTACTGATTGTGTTTTTTGTTGAACCTCAATTTTTGACTGATCAATTGCCATTATAGTCGTCTTCGCAGCTGTCATCAGCATCTTGGGGACACCAGGAAAAAGCGTTTGCGCATGCGTGCACTTCAGCACGTTTTCTAAGAATTTTGAAGAGCTTAAGTGAGAAAATAAATGGTTGTTTTCTCCAAGTATACAAAAAAGTTCGAGAGTATACTTTTGTCAGAACAAGATACTGTATTAACGAACACAATATGAAAGAATTAGTGTTAATTTTCAAGCATGGACACCAAGTTTTGGCATTTCGTGAAGTCCAATTTTTCAGGCATGTTTGAAAGTCAAATTTACTTATGTTTTGACTAATCTGCATACGGATTCAGAGCATGCGCAGACGTTTTTCACTCGTGTCCCTCCCGGGAGGATCTGGGACCGAAACTAATGACAACTTCGAAGGAGACGTACAAAAAGAAGGGAACGTGGGGAAAAAAATAGTTGAATAAACGGTATAATTATATATTCTTATGTATTCTTATTATTATGTATTCTTCTATTATAATCTCTATCTATATWAAAAAAAAAAGAAAAAAAAGGAAAARAGTAGTATCTAAATAGGAGTGTGCGGGTGTCTTACGACAAAATTAGGCGGTCTATGAATTCAGGGCGGGTGGGGATGGGGGTTGTGGTTTGTTTCTCAGTAATGAAAACTTGTGTTAGTCTATAATTTCTTTTTTCACCAGGTCTGCAAATTTAATGCAGTTCTCGGTTTTAAATAAAGAAATAGAATAAACAACGAATAAGAAATATGATATAATATAATATAATAATAATAATGAATAAATAATAATAATAATAAATGAATAAATAGTAAATATATATAATGCATGCAATGACTCCGATGAGCTTGCAGTATGTTTGTCGGTTTGTTTGCATGGAAAGAATAGCGAACGAAATATAAACAAAAAATATTCGCCGAAACCATGAATTCAAATTGATAAAAAATATGTGTTTTCGTTGTCTTCGTTTGAATTGCAAATCTAACCATTTGCACCTTTTTTAAGGAAAATTCAAGAAAATAATTCACTGAAAATATATGAATGGAGCCGACCAAAAATTATTATTAATAAGTATTATTATTAATAATATTGACTCCTATATTAGTCAATGCACATTACCTTTTGATCGAGCTTCAGCTTTCTTTTACACTTTGATAGCGGCTTGGAAAAACCTAGGGGACGTAGTCGTTTTCCAAAGACAGTTATTGAGGTTTATTTCCACCTTGAATGTCCTCTGCAAATAAAGCAAATTGAAAGCTATTATTATACTGGATCACTTTTTATCGACTTTGAACTCAACGTATACTTTAACAATGAATATATTATTAACGATCCGGCCTCTGAGGGTTTAAAAAATGGGCCCGGAGGGTCTTCAATGATGGACTGTTTTTTAACGAATCTGCAGCCTCGTTTATCCCACTGTAATAAATAATATTTTTTGTGTACTCAACGTATACTTTAACAATGAATATATTAACGATCCGTTCTCTGAGGGTTTAAAACATGGGCCCGGAGGGTCTTCAATGATGGACTGTTTTTTAACGAATCTGCAGCCTCGTTTATCCCACCCTAATAAATAATATTTTTTGTATATACCAGAGTAACTCTTCCTAAAAGCACTTGAATGTGAGGCTACGTGGTAAAACCTATTGTTCCAGTCAAAAGGCTGCCGCGTGAGAAAGGTCCTCTAGTAGAGCCAAGTGCCATTAAACCTTTTTTCGCATTGGCATTGCCGACTTTCTAAACAGGCATTATATTACTGTTTACTGTACATTTATCAAAACTAATATTGGAAACTCTGATACTTCAACGAAATCGTTAGAAATTGAAGCTAAAATGCATCATTATAACGCTAAAGAATACTTCATGGCTCCTGTTAATCGTAGCAGAGGTTTTTAAAACATCTCATTAAAATAAACCTGAAAACGAAAAACCTTAAAGATACTAGAAATAAGTTATGTCAAAAATAAACATGGCAGCCCTGTCATTAACAAATGTATTGTGCGCAGCGTATATATTATATTTTGACAAGCAAAATTAAAGCAAACTTGGGATGTGGTATTTTTTCGAAAAGGTTATGACTAAGCTACTGTTAGTTGGTTTGCAAAATCATAAACAAAATTTAAAATCTGATCATCTGTGATCAAAAATGGCGGGG